AAAAAATTCTCTCATGATTACTCTTAATACAGTTCTGTCCTATGAATTTGCTGACTTTGTGGCCAATTAGCTTTTTACTTAATTCTCTCTCGTGTAGACTTGCTTGATTTTCCTCTGGAATCTGGCAATGTTTCCATTAACTTCACCACCTTCATCTGCCTTAAAATCTCTTCTTCCCACAACTGGCTTATCATTTAATTTACTTCTCTTCCAGCTCGAATACTCATTTGGGTATCTCTACTGATATTTTTTCCCTTTTCTTTCAAGCAATTTTCTTCTTTTCATTTTTCCCATTTTGTCTGGTACAGAGATATTTTCTTTTTTTCCCCTTCTCTATTCACTATTCTAGCAGAGAATTTCAGGGTCTGACAGCATCCACCAAAAGCCCAAGTTCCCATTTCATCCGTGAAAACTTTATCAGCAATTCCCTCTCTACACACCTTGCTTGATGCATCTCTGATCTGGTTTATATACTTGGTGATCATGCTGTATCCCTTTGCATGCACTGGGAAAGTGACTTTGAAGGTCAGGGTCATCAGTAATATCAAATTCAAGCCACTTGCCAGACTTTAAAGTGTTCTGAAGGAAGGCTGCCCCAGTAACTGGGGTTAAGGCTACGCTTTTGCATGTGGGTCTTAGAGAATTTGGAAAAGCTGCTAACCCGACTCATATTTTTGGAAATGCCTGTTGATTTACATGAAGAGTCCATACATTTCCACACAAGCAGTATCATTGCTGACTATGCAGCTACTCCCATAATCTCAGCATAGCTATGAAAACAAGCATGATAATTGTTCCAACTACATAATTTTATATTGGAGAGGACCAATATCAGATAAAAGCAATATAGTTCTACAGCCCAATTTTTTTTGTATACTTTGCTGTAGCTCTTGTAACTTCTTTTTGACTTTGACAGGTTCACAGGGATTTACCCCCTATGAAAATTTGCTGCATTACTCTCAAAAGGCAGCTGGGAACAAGACAGTATATTTCTTGCAGTATTTTTGAAAATCTGCACATCCCTGACATTAATGCCTGAAAACCTCTTAAGACAATAGATAAACCAGCAAATCCATTGAGATCACATATGGCATTCTGAGTTTAACTGAAGAAAGAGACCTGGAGAAATTGCACTAATTTGCAATAGCTGAAGCACTCCTAACAATGAACTGTGGCTTTGTCCCAGTGGAAACACCTGACAATTGCATTGAGGCTATTCCCAGGCAGCATTGCCCCTTAGAGGATTTTTGCTTTTTGTCATTTTACTCTTACTGCTAAATTAAACCCAGGATTTTTAGTCAATCATTATTTTTCATAAAATGAAATGTGTTCAGTTTGTTTTTGTTTTTGTTTTTTTTCTTTTCTTTTTTTTTCCCTGCCAGTGTAGGGCTGGATTATCAGCTAAATTCATAGCAAGAAACAGTCACAGGCAGAGATTTAGGAGGATGGTACTACTGAAGGATATTGTCCACCTTTCCTGCCACCTTTGGACCCCAGGACCACCATGGGTTTGTTCTGGACATTCAGGGCTGGCTGCAGGGGCAGGGTGGCTGATTCTCCCTCTGGTCACCCCATTTTGCTGGCTGTGGATACTCCACCATTGCAAATACAACCCACTCAGAGATTAAAGCACAGACTTATTCTCCACACTTAGGAGAGAGCAAGAAGAAAATCTTCCCTTTAACTCTCTGACCTGGACTAAGTTCTTGATGAACCTTTAAACCTGCTCTCAGTTTTATACTAATAATTTATACTAATAAGCATAAAAAAGGTCCCAATAGTCAATATTACACCATCTTCACTACAGCTTATGTAGCTTGCCACTGTTGTACACATTCCCACATAGACAGTAATGCTGTCTGATCCTGGAGAGTGTCAAACATTTTGGTGGTGTTCTGTGACATCCTGAGAGTGACTTTACCAATGACAAAAATTCATACTAAGAGATCAATAACTATAGTACAAGTTGGAGCAAACAAGATGCAACAATCTTGATAAAATTTTGTAGGACTCTGGAGACAGCTTTCAAAAACTGATCAGAGAATGAAGTCCCTTCAGTAGGATGTTGTTGGCAAATTTAACAGCCTCATAGACAGGATCTCATGCCCTGTGAAATCTTGAGACTGGATTCCCAAATTGCAATGCTAAACCACATTTTTGGTGGATGCACACCTCATGTACCCACCTGAATTCTTGTAGGCAAAACAGAATTTAGCCCGCTGGCTATAAAGGTAAAAAATTGCAATTTGACCCCAGCATAAACAACATTAGGACCAGGTCTTTCATGCCTTATAATACTCTATAGAGGATTCTGTGAGCCACAGCACAATTTATGTTCTGTAGGACACTGCCATGGGCAAGTTGTGTTCACACAAAACATCCAAATTGTTCTTTCTTTAATGCCACTACATGTCCCTACACTGCCTTCATTTCCAAATTCAGCTCCATTTATGTAACACAGACCACTGAACTGAATGATAGCATTGTTTGTAATGTATTTCTTTTATTTTGGCTTTCCAGTCTGATTTAGTACTTTGCTTTGTCACATTTATTTAACTGTACAAACAATATGAGAATCCAGAAAGATACTTTATCCCTGCATCTTGCTTTAGATCCAGTCTTTCAATGATAAAATTAGAATCTTACTTCTAGACAAGGTGTCAACATTTGCCTAAAAAAACTTTATTCTTTTATTTGTAGAAGCTTATAAGTAGGTCATCAACACAAGTAACCCAGGCAAACATCAACAGTGATTAGAAAAGCACCTTGGCTCCAGGATGAAAGTCTAGTTTTAATGTACTTGGTACCAATGCCATTTTACTTGTTTTTGAGTTACAGAGCAGTAAAACAACTAATATGTTTTCTATTTTGGGGTGTGTTTTATGTTTTATGTATAATGAATGGCTCTAGAGATATTGAGAGTAGTGGAGAACATTATTCTTAAAACAAACCCCTAAAAAACAAACAAACAAACAAACAAACAAACAAACAAGAAAAAACTCACTGAAATTAAAGTATGACATATTCTAGTAGGGGAAAACTGACTTGTATTGCTCTTCAAATAATCATTTCATTAAGAAGGATTTGTATGAATTGTTACTGATTTAATTCAAAGGATGAACATTACTGAAGTATAATTTTTCTATTACCTTAACTGTGAACAAAACTAGCGTAATGTGCAATTTTTCTCAATATAACTGGAGAAATTACCTTTTCTTGTAATACATTTATCAACATAAATAACAGCAGAAGAAGTCATTGCGATTTGGGTGCATTTCAAGAAAATGGAAAACATTATTTTCCTAAAATATGTACTTGATCAGGTGGATTGTGTGATTTTCAAATTGTTCTCATGAATATTTAATCAGCAGGAGACATATACTTATGCAAGCTGAAATAGGTACCAGTTTGTGTCCCAGGCTGTTCTGTTTCACAGTCTTCCAATTGAGCGTTTTTAAAAGCTGATTTAACTAATAAAAAAACCTGCCACCACCACCACCAACAAAAAGAACTAAAATAATCTTCAGCAGGTGGCATAAACTGAGGAGCCAAAGAACTCACAAACTACCAGCAAATCCTTAGTTCAGTTCAATGCAGTATTGGTGAGATGCCTGCCTAGTTTTTTATCAGTTGCTTGAGTTTTATAAAGATTGCTGAAATACACAGATGTGTACATAAAATGATCCATTGAATCTCTGTGATAACATGGGGGGATAAAGCCCCCAAAATCCACCTCTCTGCCCAAAATCCTACCTACACACTGGCATGGAGATACACTTTCTCACACCCACATGTGTGTCCCAGCAGATGCGTGTGGCTGGCACACACACACAGATGGAAGGTACGTACCCACACACCTCTGGGTCTACAGAGGGTTAGACAAACACTGTCTGGGAATAAAAAGCACATTCCTGTGAATCTGTACATATAAAACATCCACATGAGTCCGAGCAAACACATAAGCACAGATACACACACCTGCACACGCAGAGCCACAGGGATATGGGCAAGGCACATCCACAGGCATGAACAGCCCCAGAAGCACACACACACCTGCACAGCTGGCTGTGTACTCACATGGACACACAGATTGTATATGTGAGGAAGAGTTACAATGGCTATATCATCCCTGCTAATCTCTCCTTCCTTTTTTGAAATAATCCAATTTTAGGATCCTGGAATGAGCCAGGTCCCTGCAGAGGAGATATTCCCAGAGGAGCAAAGCACTTCCAGTTTCTTTAAGGTTCCCCACCTCTTTCGTCCTCTCTCCCAGCAGCAGATCCAGGGAGCTGAGCTGGGCACTCAGCACAGCTTTTCCAGCTGCTGGCTTGGCACTTTCCACCCCAGGCTAAGGAAGGGCATAGGATGGCAAGCTTAAGATTTCATCCTTTCACCCCCAAAGACTGTGGGAGCAGGAACCTCTGGGCAACATCTGGACACAGCTCCTTTCTTCACGCTGCCCTGACCCCCCCTAGATGTCGACCACAGGGTCGCCCCTGAATCCTACCCTTCCTCTGCAAGTGTAAAAGCCCTTGTTCTCCTCCTGCTCCCCCCTTCCCCGTTTCTCCTGCCCCCCGAATCCCGTCAGGAAGCCTCTTTGCAATTCACCACTCTAAACTTTTTCCTGGCTGCACAACCTGCAACCCCCGGGGCAGCGGCTGAGTCTGGTCCAGAGGGCAGAATGGGGCGGGGGTGGGCTGCAGGGACCCGGGATGCAGGGATCCAGGCTGCAGGGTGTGGGATGCAAGGAGTGGGATGCGAGGATTGAGATGCGGGATACGGGGATGTGAGGACCGGGATGCGCGAATTCGAGACGCAGGATGCAGAGGCAGGGATGTGGGATGCAGGGAGCAGGACGCGGGATAGCGGTGCCCAGCTTCTTACCGTGCAATGAGGACAGGTCCTGGTGAGGGTCTCCAGCTGTCCCCGGGCATCGCGGGCCTCCCGATGTGCTCGTTAAACATCCACCGGGGAGTCTCACCCCCAAACTTGTGTGAGCTGCTTCCTCCGGGATCAATCACCCTTTCTCCCCTCCACCTTGGATCGGATCCCGATGGAAACTCATCAAGGCCTCCTAAGTGGTCAGAGGTAAGCTGTGAGGGAAGGAGAGGAGGGGGACAACGGGACGGAGAGGTTGTGATCACCAAGCGATGATCCCCTTCCTTTCCCCTCTCCTCCGGAGCACCCGCTTCCCGCTGCTCTCACCAACTTTGGCTCTGCTTAGCCAGGCAGCGCCTGGGACCGGCGCTGTGAACTGGGGTCCCTTTTCGCAGCCTGGCATCTTTCTAGATTTCCTCTCCTTTCCGGGCAAAGGGGATTGGTGCAAAGCTTTAAATTAGGAGGCGACCTAGAGTTGCAAAGACAGGGAGTGGGAGCTGGCTGGCGTTCGCAGACCGCCTCCCCCGGCGCTCGGCGCTGCGCGGAGGGGCCGGCTGAGCTTTATCCCTACCATTTATTCATTGACTGCCTTCCTAATTCTCACTCCGGAGCTGGCTATCGCTCCTGGCACGGCCGGGAGCGGGGCTGTGGCAGGAGCCCTGGGAAGGAGGCGAGCCCCATGCTGCGGGGCTCCCCGCGGCTGTTTAACTGCGCCGGCAGCGCGGGCAGAGCGCAGCCCGGCCCCGGGGGGAGCACAGGGGTGTGGGGGGGACGGGACACGGGGACGCTGCTGTCGCCTGGCAACCCTGCATCCCTGCCCTGAGCATCCCTCCCCCAGCGCCCTGATTGGACGGGGCCGAGGCGGGGGGAAGACACACGCTCCTCCGAGGATGCTGCGCCCCGGCACTGCGACTTGTCGCATCCTCAAAAAGCAGGGAGCGGGCAGGGTGAGCGCCGAGCAGCCGGGAGAGCCGAGGCAGTTCAGGGCGTTGTGTTACCCTCCTCCTGCCTTCTCGCTTCCAGCTGACTTGATTAATTTGCTTCTGCTCTACATCTCCTAGGAAAAGAATGTATTTGTGTATGTATGTATGTATGTATGTATGTATGTATGTATGTATGTATGTATGTTTGGATGGATGGATGGATGGAGAGATAGATAGATAGATAGATAGATAGATAGATAGATAGATGATAGATAGAAACAAAGAAAATATACCAATATATACACACATATATATGTATGTATATAAACATATGCATTTGTATATACAGATACATGTATATGTATTATCCACTGTCTTTATATTTTTTGCTCTATATTCTAACTCCTATATGGGCAGAGAGAAGAAAAATAGTTACTGAGAAAAGATCATTTCAGAGTGTAGCAAAGCTGAATGAAAAGGGCAAAAGAAAGCTACTTTTTAGCTTTGAAAACCACAGGTTTACATCAGCTGGAGTTTTAACAGAAGGTTGTGTTTCTAAAGAAAGAATTAAACTCGGTGAGGTGAGTGAGCTGTAAGAGTCAGTGAGGATGGATGCACTGACTTCAGAGAGGGTGAGTTTAAGCCATGCTGCATGGGGCATTGCTGGTGTTATATGTGGCTTCATTGTTTATTCTCTGCTGTGGGGGATAGTGAGCAGCTGCTTTGTGCTGGTTGGGTGTAGTATGGAGAGGATGTCTGTAAAATCCCAGTACCTCCCTTTCCATACAGCTGCAGTTGGGACACTGTGGATTTCTCATTCTTTAGCAGGGAGAAGCCCACTGTCCACTTCTCCCTGAATGTTTCCCTCCACCTTTGGACTTAACCCCAGGCAGCTCCCCACCAGTGCTCAGTTAAAGCAAGGAAAGAGACACTGCAGTCAGGAGCTGTAATCTAGCAGCTCACATGGGGCCACTATTGTTTCAGCAGCCACAGTTCCAGTAAGGAGTTAAACCAAAGTAAAAGGAAATAAAACCAAATAATCTGCTTCTGCTTTGTAATATTTTATGTTTAGTTATTTAACATCTGTTTACTTTTGTGATCTGCCATTATATTTTATCTACTTGGGTAATTCTATGAGTTTTTTCTTTCTTGGAAGCCAAGGACATTTGCAGAGATGTGCATATTAGAACTGTTTCATTAAGGACTAAACTTAAGCAGGGAGCAGAATAAAATATAGCAGTTTCTCTCAGGTTTACCCTACTTTAGATTAGATCAAAAGGTACATGAGACATTGCTATAACATAAGGGTAAACTAAAATGAATAGGAAATCAGCCTCATGTCTTTTGAATCATACCACAATTTGACAAATAGCTTCAGAATATATTTTTTTCACAGTCCTGCAGGCTAATTGCCAGGAAAGACTAGGAGAAAAAAGGATCTTATTCTGCATTGCTTTGTACATAGCAATCATGTCTCAAAGTGAGTATAAAGTAACTTTTTCATTGGGTGGGATGTAAAACCCACTGTGTATGAAATTGGCCACCACAGGCACCAAATGGAATTTGGCTGAGATATGTTGTCTGATTTGCAGCAGGTCACTAAGAGCCAGAGAGGTGACCCAGTCATTTGTTCTGTGCTTCAAAAAACATCAGTGGTACCGATGGTTTACTCCCTTTCCATGCCTCACTGCCCTGCAACATCTGATATCAGTCCCTAACATTGCTACTACTTGCATTTACACATGATTCATGGCCACTGAGAAACAGGAAAATAAACCTGAACAGCCAAACAAGATGTAGGCAAAGACAGAAGGGTTTCATTCCCACTTTCTTCCAGGGTTCTTCTCAGTCAGTTCTCCTGGCACAACAGGGTCTCATTTTAGCCATAAGACAACCTACCCCTGTCTTTCTAAAGCAGGATTCTGGAGACCTCTTTTCAGTTTATGACCCTGGAAAACCATGTGAATTTTTGTAGGGAATTCAAATGTGCCCCAATTCTCTTTTGGATTAGAACATGGTGCATCCACGTAGGGTGTTCTGAAGGTGCAGGCGTGTACTGATTGTGTGCTTTCAGTCTGTCAGAGGCTCAGGATTGCAGGTACACACAGTGGGACAGTGCAAGGCAAGACAAAGATCTCGGTGAAGCTCTGGGCTAAGCTGTGTTTGGGTGCTACTGGCAAAACATTCATTTCAGGCCAAACTGAGCACCTCGTGCTACACTTAATTGTGGATACACCCACGGTTAGACACGGAAATCAGACTGTGTCACTTCTGCCAGGGGACAGCTTGGAGAAAATAATCAACAGCCCTCAGTGTCTATGGCCTGGATCCAAAGAGGGGGTTTTAATATGAAATATGTTTATTTCCTTCCTGCCTGTGAAACAAAGATGGCAAAGCAGCATTAAATTTCCTGAAATAAGAATATTTTGCCTTTGTGTATTATCTGTTAGAGAAATAGTAATTATATCTAGTTAAAAGATCGATTTCTTTTCAAATTCAGATCTCACATAACATCAAATTGAGTTCATAGAAAGCTTCAATGAGCTGAAGAATTTGTTTTTATAAAATTTGTGAATGTCATTAATAGGCTCAGAACCACAAAATAACAGATGCATATCTTTTCCTTACATAGTATTTTATCAAGAGCTTCAAGACTGTATGAATGGGAACTTTCCAATTTTACATTTGATAGGAAGATACTGTTCCAGCAAAACACTTTGTAGGGTTCCCTAACTTGCTATAAGCATCTGTTTTGGGACACACTCAAGTTATTTGCTGATGAAAGGCTAAAGCACAGCTTTTAAAAAATTGCAAATATGCTTGTACAGCCACTGAGTGACCTATAGATTGGGCCTGGCTTACCTGAATAATTCATGAGGCTTATGGTCTTTCCTCCTTTCCTGGGGACCTTACAGAAATGGGCAGGAATAGGGCCATAGATCAATGAGGCTTTTCCTAGCAAATTGCTCCTTGCCACCTGATTTCCAACAGCTCTGCATCTGATTCCTGTGTGGAAGTGACATGTGAGTAGGCAGGATCCCATTCTGTGGCTCTTCCTGAGCTAACACCTTGGTCATCACTCCAGGGCCAGTCTTTACCCCTGTGGTTTTGGGCACACATCAGAAGCACCTAGACATGACACCATGTTTATTGTAAATGCAGGTGAACCCAATGGGAAGAAATGACGATGTCTGACTCAATTCAGAAGACTGAATTATTTCCTTATTATAACTGTGCTAAAACACATTAATATGCTATATAAAAGGAGGATACTAAAACTACATACTACTTTCTCTGACTCTAACACAACTCGTGACCCTCTCGCAAGAGTCCAGCCCCAGGTGGGTTGGATTGGCCATCAGGCTCAAACAATCCTCACGAGAATCCAATCAAGCAATCACCCCAGGTAAACAATTCTCCAAACACATTCCACATGGGAAAAACAAGGAGCAGAAATAGAAATTGTTTTCTCTTTCATTTCTCTCTGTGCACCTCTATGAAAAATCCTGAGAGGAAGAGAAATGTGCTTGCGACACATGCTCTCCTGGGAGTCTGCCAGTCTCAGGGTACAAAATCCTGTTTGGGTGGTAGAAGTCACAGGGATCTAGACGTGTCTCCACAACACTATTGCCATGTCAGTCTCTGTATCCTGAGACAGAAAGGCAAAAAGTTCATAATGGTTGATGCAGGGATCAACAAAACCCCACACTCATCCCTACCTGCTAATTGTGAGGGACGTGGACATACTCCAGAGGAACAGTCTCGTGGCACCTGGCTTTCAGAGGAATATGGGATCCTAGGGAAGATCCACAGCAAGAAGAGCGTAAGGGCTGTCACTCTGTCATACTCCAGGACCTCATGGATTGCTGTGGAAAATTATGCACTGCTGTGGTTGCTGGCTGGACACCAGTACCCAACAAAGCCCCTCTACTTCCTCAGCTGGGCAGGGTGTAGAAAATATAACAAAACCAGACTTTTCCTTTTCTCTTAACCAACAACACTGATGGTCTTCATCATGAAGCTCATCATCAAAATGGAATGTCTTCCTTTCTCATTGTTAAGTGGCTTTGAAGAGATTTTAGGTCAATACACATGGTGCAGAAAGTTCTCATGTAGATTCAGCACTGTTCCTCTTATGGCTGAATCATGTGGCATCCCTTGGGTCCACAGTGACATTGTTGTTCCCTGTCAGATGTCCTGTGACATCTTTCTTAGCTGGCTGAAGGGATACTGGCCTAGTACCAGCATGAAGAATATTCCATGACATACTCAGGTTTTTGGGGGCAT